AGCATTTACCCTGACTTTCAACAGGTGGAATTCCTACTAAGTCTTGTCTGGAAAGTGATCCACATAAATTCATTTAGGCATTTTAGTCACCTTATAGGTAATAATACTTGAACACCTTATAGAATTGTGGGTCTGTTTTAGCTTGGCTTTAGTTCAAAGGCACAAATTCTGGTACCTACCTAATCAGTTAGTTCATAAATATTTATTATCGCTATAAAGGATTCTAGAACTACATGCTGAAGGAACTTCAAAGACGTGCAAACTGAGCTCTTATTATTCAGGCATTTATAATTGGTTGTGTAGGAAAGACACACTCAGGAAAAGTTTGTCTCCGTAATCAAGCAGTAGGATGATACAAGATCAAATCTAAAGAAAGAATTTTTTATTGAGACATACTATTTGGACATATTTTGGGGGTAAAGTATAGAATCTGATATATGTGTACAATGTATAACAAATCAAATCAGGGTAGTAAGCCATTCCATCTCTTCAAATATTAATAATTTCCTTGTATTGGGAATTTTCATCATCTAATTATTTCAAAATGTATCATTCATAATTGTACAGAAGTTATGCTACTGTATCTCTCTATGAGAGACTGAACCCTACTGTAGCATAGAACCCAGGGCCTCACACTTGCTAGGTAAGCACTCCACCATTGGGTAACATACCCAGCCCCTACTGTGAGATCTTTAGCTTATATGTTAATTTGCAGATTCCTTGAGGACAAATCTTTGTCTTAAACAATTACACATTTCCGTCCTCATCTACAACCAGTGCCTATTCAAGTGATGAAGCTTTGCATGATAGATTGGCTGGTGAGAAAGCAGAGGCAGGGAGAAAAGCACCAGGACACTCTCGTGATAAAACTTATACATGAGAAAGATGTGGGTCAAAATAATGATTGAGTTGAGAGCAGTAGTTTATGTCTATAGTTCCATATACTTCGAAGTTGAGTTAGGAGAATCAATTGCTTGAGCAAAGCAAGGAGCTTGAAATGAGCCTGGGCAGCATAGCAAAATGGAAAAAGAAGAATAGAAAAAGATACTGGAGGAAAAACAACAGGATTTAGTAACTAAAAACAAGAAGATAAGAAAAAAAAAGCCCCGAGAGCTAGAAGGGAAGGAAGAGGAAAACTTTGGTGAGGACACATCACACAATAGGCACTTAAATGTTTTCTCTCAAACATTGGTATTAGGATAGGAGCAGAAGATCCTTAGTCCCTCCAACACTGAGATTCTCTGCCATATGCAGATACTCAACATTTTGAGGGATCTGCAAGTATTGTTAGATATAAAACAAAGAGAAAAGGAGGACTGGTATCCTCTCATTAGCAGACACTTTGTGAAAAGTGTTAATACTGAGACCCAGAGTCCCATTGCTCACTGAAAGGAGATAGAAGAGCAACAAAGCAAACCCAAATCAAAATTATGAAAAACGCTTACAAATCATTCCAAACTTTCTAAGTTAATCTCCTCCAACTTCTGCATGTTAAGTGGGGAAGGTATTATCAGTTATATTTTTGTACAAGACAGTGCTGAAACAGAAACACTAAGTGACCTGCCCACATTCATAATTCAAATGAATGATGCAGTGAGGACAAACCTGATGTTCTGATTGCTTCCAGCCCAGTGCTCTTGCTCTTGCACTGATTTTATTCTTTTTCCCTAGCACAGAGCTCATGTATCTAGAAGTTAGACATGCACATAAACAAATAAGGAATGCATGAGCAACTTGAACATTATCTCAGCTAGTTATTAACACTTCATAATTTTTCTTGGAGCTATGCATTTAGTTTCCATATCTACTATGTCCTTGACCCGTCTGTTCAGTATCCTCAGCTAGAAAATGTAGGGTTGATAAGTCACTTAACACAAATTCATTTGGCATGCATCATTAATACTAAACATCAGTATGGCACGCAAGTTTATACTTCCTTGCATTACTTTTCTAACATGAGATTTTGAGGTGTCTAAACAGCCAGAACCTGTGACCAACTCCTGTAATTCCAGCATTAAGGCAGGAACACCCCAACTGTGAAGTCAATCTGGGTTATATTGTAAGACCTTGTCTACAAAAACAGGCTGGGCACATTGGCTCACATTTATAATCCTAGCTCCTCAGAAGTCTGAGATTATTATGCAGCAATTTTTTAGAGCTTCTTTATTCTTCCATAAGAAAGAACACTAACAGATCCTAAGAACTTTTCATTTCTTTTTTTGAACTCTTTATTTTCTTTACCACTTTTTGGAGATATTGGGTTTTGAACTCAGGGTCTCATGTTTATAGACGCACTACAACTGGAGCCTTGCTTCCAGCCCTTTTATATTTCAATTATTCTTCAGGTAAAGTCTTGCTTTTTCCCAGGGCTGACCTTCTATCTACATGTCTACATAGCTGGGGTTACAGAAATGAACTAACATAACTGGCTACTTTTGTTGCAATTAAGAGCAACTAGCTTTTGCCTGGGCTGCCCTCAAACTATTATTCTCCCAATATCCACTTCCTGAGTAGCTAGGATTGCAGGTATGAATGACCAGGCCCAGCATTGGGTCATTGGATGTTGCATTAATAAGACTTTTGCAGCAATTAACTACTATATTAATGGAGGTGTGCTGGAATTTGGTAAAGTCAACTAAATATTAAAACCTACGTTAAAGTGTGAAGTCCTAAATTAATGAAATGATAAGCCAAAGGAATATATTGTAAACAGAAAGCTCACAAACACAATTCCTGCTTCTCTGATCATGTGCAGTCAATTGCAGAGATAACCTCAAAGCAAATTGATGAAGGCATGAATAAATTTCCTGAGAAGGCAAAGTTGGTAAGTATAAAGAGAAGAGGTTTTTATCTCTGACTTAAGAATTCAACATATCTTTGATTGCCTTCTGCTTTGTTTAATCCTGAATATCATTTGTTATGACTATCATCTAGTATCTTTGATTTATTTTTCCTCTGAATGGAGCATTCAATGAAAAAGCAACATAAAACTTTTGAAAAATCAAGTACAGGAAGTGGCACTGTGGCTCAAGCGCCTAAGCCCAGAGTTCAAGCCCCACGACTGACAAAAAAATCAAGTACACTCAAATTATACAAATTAAAATGTAGGCAATAAAATAATTTTTCTCATACTAAACATCTCTAGTATTTTGGATTCTAAATTATGTTTGTGAAAACCACTGTAGATGACTTGGAGTTGCTCTGGGATATTGTCTATGACTTGAATGAGTTTTTATATATAGCCTTATCTGTTATAGATTAAAAATTTTTTTTTCTATTCTGTTTTATAGATCTCTAAAAAGAAAGAGTAAATCAGCAACAGAAAAAAAAGGACAAGATTTAAATTGTGACGAAATCCTAACTGGGAAGGTATATATCCTGAGATTTACTACGAATTTTGATAGATTGTTTAACCTCTGTTTCTGTCTCAGAAGTACTGGGGCTTGAACTGAGGACCTCATACTTGATAAGTTGGTGCTCTACCACTTGAGCCATACCTCCAGCCCAGATTTTGATCTCTTAAAAGTGAATATGTAGCCAGGCTCCAGTGGCTTATGCCTGTAATCCTAGCTACTCAGGAGGCTGAGATCTGAGGATTGCGGTTCAAAGCTAGCCAGGGCAGGGAAGTCCATGAAACTCTTATCTCCAATAAACCACCAATAAACCAGAAGTGGTGCTCTGGCTCAAGTGGGAGAGCACTAGCCTTAGGCTGAAAAGCTCAGGGACAGTGCTCAGGCCCAGAGTTCAAGCCCCACAACTGACAAAAAAGTGAATATATAAAATATAGTCCATATATATTCCAAAATAATTTTAAGGCTATTAAATTTTTGTTACTGCAGTTTAAAAGTTTTTGCCTCCAGAAGCTCTTTTGCATGCATACCTTAGATTAGTGTTTAGTTTTCATCCATTTGAGTCTCTCTTGCATAACTGTTACTCAATTAACATGATCATTGTTGAGTCCCTACAGTGAACCTAGTGTAGAATTACCACACAGAACATAGAGAAAGGTACTTGTGCAGTCAATAATTCATTTTTTTCATTTTAAGATATATTCTAGATAGCTTATGTTGTAGAAGAAAGGCACTGTATAATTATTAGCAATTTAGATTTAAGCATGATTTTTTCTATGTTGTTACTGTGGAATTAGAACCTAAATTAAAAAACAAACTATTGAAGATTTTCTTCCTTGATAATACTTGTTATATTAGTATCAATCAACGGGTGCCAACTTAGGTTCCATTACATAATGAAGAAAAGATTTGAAAAGATCCATTACTTATACGGGCATCCATATCAATGCAAGTAAGATGGAGAACCTACCTGAAGAATATTGACTTTTTCCTCTAGAATATTGTGGGGTTTAAGTGAATTATGACCCAGACCCTCTATGCATGGAATAAAGTATCCAGTTTAGACTTTAAGAATATGGGGGAAAAAAGAATATGGGTCCCTGGGGGTGAGGGGTGGGGAGGGTGGAGAGGGGAAGGAATGGTAAGGGGAAACAAAGGAGGAGGCAACAATGCTTGATAAGAAATGTACTCACTATCTTGCCCATGTAGTTGTAACCCTTCTGTGTGGTATTTTCACAATAATAATAATAATAAAGAATATGGGTCCCGAGGAAGCAAACTTCAAACCCCATATACTGTTTGATTTTGTTTACAACTATCCAAGCCATAAGCTAATATGGTCACACGTTTGAATGGAACTCAGGCTTTCTTCCCCAGAAAAGAGTAAATTGAACCAAATGACAGGACCAGTTGCTTTTATGCATGGCATGCAGCCTTTTTCTTGGCAGAGACCTCAGAGAAATGAGACCAGTTTTCCCCATTCACACAAAAAAGAATTTATTTTCTTCTGTTGCTGTACATTAATTAATGAGCATAAATCATGAAACACTAAATTGGAGGGTCTCATGATTGAGAGAAATTTGCTAAGTTGATTTTAGTTTCTAGTTTAATGATCTTCCTTCTACTTTTTCATTTATTTTCAGGTTCTTTTGGTTACAAACTCTCCCTGTCTGGTGCTGCAACAATGAGTGGGAAATCCCTTCTCTTAAAGGTCATTCTCTTGGGTGATGGTGGAGTTGGGAAAAGTTCACTTATGAACCGTTATGTAACCAATAAGTTCGATTCTCAGGCTTTTCACACCATAGGGGTAGAGTTCTTGAATCGAGATCTGGAGGTAGATGGACGCTTTGTAACTCTCCAGATCTGGGACACTGCAGGACAGGAGCGTTTCAAGAGCCTCAGGACACCCTTCTATAGGGGGGCAGACTGCTGCCTCTTGACCTTCAGTGTGGATGACCGCCAGAGCTTCGAGAACCTTGGTAACTGGCAGAAGGAATTCATCTACTATGCAGATGTGAAGGACCCTGAACACTTCCCCTTTGTAGTTTTGGGTAACAAGGTAGACAAAGAGGATAGGCAAGTGACTACTGAGGAGGCACAAGCCTGGTGCATGGAAAATGGGGATTATCCTTATCTAGAAACAAGTGCCAAAGATGATACTAATGTGACCGTGGCCTTTGAAGAAGCTGTCAGGCAGGTGTTGGCTGTAGAAGAACAGCTGGAGCATTGCATGTTAGGTCACACCGTTGACTTGAACAGTGGTTCCAAAGCAGGTTCTTCATGCTGTTAAAAGTTAGGGAACCTTTAAAAAAAGTCTCTAATTGGTCTGTCAGTAGTGTAAGAATTGCTGTGCCCCTCTGAGTGTGTGTATGTGTATGTGCGTGAACGCGCGCGTGCGCACACACACACACACACACACACACACACAGAGGGTAAGAATAAGGTTCTATTGTGAAATGGAGCCTTTCAAATTGAAATTGTAGAGTGATTTAAAACTAAAAGCTTTATTGAGCCAAGTGTATTTTGTGTGATTTCTGCTATTTTTCCCTTCTTGTGTGTCTCAGGACATTTCAGAAAGTTTTAGTCCTGAGAGATTTAAATGTTTTTTTAAAATCACAGTTTAAACCTAGAACCTAGCTGCATGAAGGAGTTAAAGAGCTACAGCTGTCACTTAAAGTGTTCTATTTCTCAACTAGCAAATGCCATGATCAGACTCTTGCCAAGCAGTGTCTGCCAAAAGGAAAAGAACTCTGAGCTTTACAATAAAACCAACAATGATTCCTAAGCTTGAATTGTAAAGAGACTGTGATGATTAGGAACATAAAAGTAAAACAATACACAGTGACTATTTTATGAATAACTCCCATCTAAGCTTTTGAAAAAAATACTATCTCTATAAGAGTCACTCTAATGACACTGGAAATTGGCTGTAATTCTTGAAGCTGAAGTCACACAACACTAGTGAATGGATTCTGCTTAAATATGCCAACCACCCTTGCAAATAAATGGTTGGCCTGCTTTTCCTTTATGAGTCTACTCTTGCTGCGTAAAGGAGATGTTGCTTCTCTGACAACCTCTTATCAATTTAGCAATGTTGCTTAGTATATGGCTTTGGGTACAGTGTTCTCTGCTCATAATTTAGATGATCCTTTGACTCATTATGCTGGCTCATGAGGAAGGCTTCCAAAGAGTGAGGATAGTGGGTTTCTCTTATAAGCTTCCTTGACTTAAATATTTATTGTATAAGAAGGAACTCATTTCTTGTATGTTGTACTGTATGTTCAACCAGCCAAACTAGGATAGTGAAGATGATAAACGAGCAGAATTTAACTTTGTGTTACAGTGAATTTCTCATAATTAGATTTGTCCAAGAGTGAAATAGACTGCCTTAATAGTGAGCTCCTTCCAGTGAAAATATTCACTGGCTGACCACCTGTTAAAACACTATAAAGAATTTCCATATGGGCTACACATTTAATGTAAGGTCCCTTCCAGCTCTAAGTTCTACGAAATTATTTTGAAATAATGTCAGTGCCATATTATGGTTAGATTTGTCTAAATAGTAACAGCTAAGATTATGGAGAGGGACTTTGAGTATTCTCAAACCATTGTGTTATCACCCTTTACTGCCACTCAATAGCTCTTCCTTTTGCTTTTGCACTGTGGTTTAAGCTCTGGTAGAAATATCGTAAAGATACCATCTTCCAAACAAAAATGGCTCGACAATTTTTGCTTACCATGACTGCCAATTACATGCTGGATGATGGGTATACAGTCTGGTTATTGTCGGTGGATGTTTGTCCTGCATAGTCCTTTCAAATATCTGCAATAAAAATTGTGACCCATCATAGTGAGGGACAGTTGGAAATGTCCCCTAAAGATACCTAGGCCAGGGAGGGGTGGGAGCTTTCACAGAAATACAGCCTAGAACTCTCCATTGTAGCCACATATGGAATCAGCCTTACATATGGGACCTTATGTGCTTTAAGAGCTCTGGGATTTGGGGTCACATAGCCAAGAGGAGGACAGTATTTCCACCCAGTCATACTCAACATTTGCAGTTAAGACACAGTCCTGATCCCATTGTCCAATTAACTTCTCTGCCAGAAGTCAAAGCCAGAATTGGGCCCCCCACAGCTCTTAAATATTGGTTCCTATCCTGCCTATGCCTATAGCCAGCCACACTGGTTTCCAAGTTCTACAATCATTTTTTGCTATAGTGTTAAGGTGAAAATCTGTATGTCCAAACTATTAGATGCGAATTATTTTTACGTGCACGAGAACTGGGGCCTTCTCTTTCTACTTGCACTCTGCTTATAATAGTTTCTATTTGTAGTTCTCAGGCCTTCATAAAGACCCCCATCAACTCACAAAATTAGTTGTCTCTTTTGAATGGCATGTGATCATTTGAGCAAAAAACTCTCCATGGGTATTCAATCCATAACATCCTATCCATCTAAGATAAGCGCTTATTCTAACAGCAGCTCAACTGAAGCCCCTTTCTTCTTAGCCATATCAATTTTTTCTGCCAAATTACTACACAATATTTTGATGAAAGCACTTAGCATTAATTGACAAAACAGTAACATTTTGGTGAGTAACACTCAGTGGATGCTGACTTGAGAGTTTGGGTAAGATTAAATGCACCCAAGGTTGAAACCTCTGAGTACCAGGGACTGTGCATATCAGTTTAGAAATTGACAGTGTACCCTAGAATGTGAAGTGTAATAGTTTCAATATTTGTTTTTTAAATGAGCACTAGATTTTTGGAATAGTATATTTCTAATTAGAAGTATTCTGTTTTTCAACGGCCCATTTCAAGGTACAAAATATTTATTTGGTTTAACCTTCCCGGGGGCTCAGATTCCGTATGTCTTCAGTGGATTGATGAATTTCAGGTTTATTTGTGCCTGCCTCAGCAATCTCTACTTTATCCTGAGCTATTCCACAATCCTCTTGTTGCAGGTGCTGCTAATAAAAATCTCAAAATTGTGTATTGGGTATTTCCTTTTTCAATAGTAAAAAAAACATCTGTGTTGAAGTGAATAAAAAGTCCATTTTGAATAATCAGCATACACTGCTTGTGGGTTTTTTTCCTGTTCCTTTCTCATTTTGGGTAATTGGTAGGTATGACACAAAATACTTGTGAGTAAAGCCACTTTTTCAGGTTGTTCTCAATGTGACTTCTAAATCTTTTCTTCGCTTGCTGTACCCAGAGCCCTGCCTAAGGATCAGGATACTGATCCCTTTTATCTTATATTACCTTCTAATGCATAAAGAGTATTTATGATTAGAAATTGGATCTTGACTTTCCACTTTTTTGGGATACTTAGAGGTAAACTCAGGGCCTCGTGCTTGCTAAGAAAGTGATCTACTACTTAAGCCACACATTCCAGCTCTTTTTACTTTTTGTAGTTTATTTTTCAGATAAGTTCTTGCACTTTTTCTCAGGCTTGCCTTGGATGGTGATCCTCATACTTCTTCCTCCTAAACTCACTTTCTTTTTTTTTAGTATATTTTTTAAGATAAATATTAAACTATCATGAAACATAAACAGAATTGCCCAGAATTTAGAAAAATATGAAAATATAGGTGGCACTAATCAGAAATCAAAGGATAGATATGCTAAAATTTCTATTCCTCTGCCTCTGACATACTGGCTGTTAAAAGATATGAAATGATTTGAATATGTATAATAGGAATCTTCAGTTATGAATGAAAGTCTCTCCACATTTCATCACCTTTATTTCACCTGCTATAGATTAAGCCTTCTGGTCCTTCTACTTTTCCCTGTTAGAATGTTGGGCAGCTGAAATGGAGGAATTAGAGAAAGATGTTTTTCCACCAAATTGTCACACCATCCTTCCATTATAGCACTCTAAATCTTTTAGATTAGGCTACAATGAAGAAACTTTTAGACTATGAAGGTCATAAGTTTACAGGCTTCTTAAAAAGGCTTTGCTCAGGCTAGAGTTGTAGCTCAGTGTTGCATAATTTTCGTGAGGCCCTGGGTTCAATCCCCCGGATTGCTATAAAAGTTTAAAAATAATTTTTTCACAAACTGACATGCTAAATTGAAACCCATTTGTATGATTACTTAAAGATAATTTTTAAAAATTGAGATGAAATATAGAATTTACTCACCTAGAGCTGAAATTTTTAAGTCAGAAAACTACGTTTCTGGCTAGGTACTGAAGCTCACATCTGTGACCTCACCTACTTGAGTGTCAGAGATAAGGGGGATCATGATACAACTTGGCAAAAAGTTAGCAAGACAGCCATCTAAAACAACAAACTTGCCTTGATGGTGTATGTCATCTCAGCTACAGGGAGGAACAGGTAGGAAGGCCTAGGCAAAAAAAACCTGCAAGAGGGGCTGGGAAGGTGGCTCAGTGGTAGAGCGCTTGCCTTGCATGCTCAAGGCCCTGGGTTCAATTCCCCAGCACCACATAAGTAAAAAGAAAAAAGCCGGAAGTGGAGCTATGGCTCAAGTGGTAGAGTGCTAGCCTTGAGCTGAAGAGCTGAGGGACAGCGTCCAGGCCCAGAGTTCAGGCCCCATGAAAGGACCCAAAACAAAAAAAATCCTGCGAGATCTGATCCAAAAAGTAACTAAATATAAAAAATCAGGAACTGGAGGCTCTGAATTAATACCACAGTACTGCTGAAAAAAGAGACAGAAACACAAGGAGAGAGAGTGACACAGTATTGGGAGAAGTATTGGGAGAGGAAGAGAGAGGGAAAAGAGAAAAGAAAGAAAGGAAGGAAGGAAAGAAAGAAGGAAGGGAAAGAAGAACGAAAGAAAAGAAAGAAAGAAGGAAAGAAAGGAAGGAAGGAAAGAAAGAAGG